TTGAATCTAAAACAACTGCTTGCAAACTTGATGCTTACCATCATCCATGTCGATGACCAGCTCACTCTCAGAGCTTATTATCTGCCCTGTGTGGCCTGCTGGAGTTTCCTGCCTCCCTGCTTTCAGTTCACCATCATACAGTCTCTTATGCATCTCCATGCTCCCATTTTCCAGTCCTTTGTCCAGTAAAATAGCTTCCACTTCATCAAAAAACTTCATGTACTTCCCCAGGCTTCCTGCACCGCTGCCTCCTGCAGCGTGTGCACTTTTAGCAATCTTATAGTCATATTTCAAATTCTTGTATTTTGTACGGCATTGTTTCCAGTCGCGTATCACCCCATATTTTCTTTGCACCTGCCGAGCCATCTCTTGGAATATGGATTTGTTGCGCAGCGTGCTTTTCAAACGTTCCCGAATGTTGCAGTCGGCCCAGACGCACAGCAGCGCTTTTACTTCATCATCCGTCCAGTTGCGGATTCCCTCTTCAGCCACATTCGTAGAGGCAGAAACAGCTGAATGAAATTGAGCCGTTATTCCTGTGCAAACATGAAGACATTGTCATTTTTGGCTAAATGGTGATTTAAAAAAAAAAAAAAAAAAGAAGAAACTTTAACCTCCTAGGATCCACATATATGGACATCACATTTTGGGTTATTTAGACCAAAACTCAATTTTGCTCTACAAGGGCCTGATATCCACCTCCGAGGACATTATACTGCTACTCTTCTCCTCATATGTGGATCTCACTTTTCTTAGAAACAAAAATCAGGTAAAAAAAAATAGTTCTGATAATTCTTTGTTTTTACATTCAACAGGTCCCAATCAGCCCAAACAAAGACAAATTAAAAACACATGCCATGGAAGAGTTCAGGTCTTAGGAGGTTAATGTAATTGTCTGAGTTTTTAGCACAAGCAAGCTTTATCCTTTGATGCTAGTTTTTGTTTTTCCCCCAAAGTGAACAAAGTCATGCTGTTATCGTCATTAGTACAGCTGGTGTTGAACACAGTTACCTTGCTGGACTGTGTAGATTCTTTGATTATCCACACCTTCCTCCCGTGGCCATTCCAGCGGCCTTTCTTCCACTCCTGGGCTGTAGTTCACGGACGTGCCTGCATCAGGCTTCCTGCTCTGAAGTCTCATGCTTCTGAATTAGCTGAGACTCCTTCCAGCTGCGCACAACACTGAGCCTCCTCAGACGCTCTGAAATCCCCTCAAATGTGCTTCGGTCCTCTACCACGTGCTGATGTCCACCCTGGTCCCACACTGAGAGTAGAGCCAGCACCTGAACCCCCCCCCACTGCCTCTCCACAGAGCCTTCTCCCTCCCCCACTTCACTATCACCTCCTCTTTGTCTCTCTGCTCCTCTCTCCAAGTTTGAGCCGACCCGGAAACGCTTTTCCGCCCAGCCTGTCTGCTGCACGGTTCCCTAGGAAACCAGGCAGTTAAGCCTAAAAGCAACGCCTTCATGCTGAAAAGCTGCCTCGCCAGTGGCTTAAGCTGTGTGCTGAGGGGGCGGGACTAAGTGTAATCAGAGAAGCAGCTTGGTGATGACTGAAACTGCAGCAGGAAGACTCTCCATATATGGCAGCCTCACAGCAGGGAAGCAAATCTGCTTTTTTGTTTTCGGTGGATTTTGTTTCTGCTCCATTTGGCCCTCGTTAAACCAGTTTTGATTTGCCTCAAGGCGACCGTTACTGTTTCATGCAGAGAAGAAACAGAAATCATTCATGCAAAAACACATTTCCCACCAGTGGTTCCTAAACTTTTTTCGCTGGGCCCCCCTTTGTTTTACAGAAAAATG